TAACCCTTCCCCCTGGGGGGTCTCCATGGCTGGGGAGGGGCTGGGTCCCATGAGAGGATTGGAAGTTACTGCTCCCCTGGGGTCTCTATGGCTGGGGAGGGGCTGAGTCCCATGAGGGGATTGGAAGTTACTGCTCCCCTGGGGTCTCCATGGCTGGGGAGGGGCTGGGTCCCATGAGGGGATTGGAAGTTACTGCTCCCCTGGGGTCTCCATGGCTGGGGAGGGGCTGGGTCCCATGAGGGGATTGGAAGTTACTGCTCCCCTGGGGTCTCCATGGCTGGGTCCCCTTGGGGAGTATTGGCAGTTGTTCCCCCTGTTTTGTACCCCAGTGAGCGGGAGGCAATAAGGGAGGGGGATTTTAAGCACCCCACCTCTGTGGTAGGGTAGACTCTGTGTCCCCAGTGAATCGGGAGACGTGTGTGGCTCCTGGTGGGGCCTGCAGAGCATGGGAGGCATTGGAAAGGTGCAGGTTGAGAGCCGCCCAGGTTTTTTTGCCCCCAGTTCCACAGCGGGTGAGATGCTGCATGCCATTGAGTGGGAGCCAAAGTGTGCAGGAAGATCTGATTAAAGAGGAGATAGGCAGTGATGGTGTCATGTCATGGGGCTGCAGGTTTAAAAGGACAGAGAGGCAATGCTAATGTTATTCTCTCTTCATAACTAATCATGCTTGAATTCCCTGAGCTAAGTTAAAAGCCTCATAGTTTGCACTTTCATTTGCAGTTTTGCAAATGCGATATGTCAGGTTGAATGTACATGACTCGTGCTAGGTGTGTATAATACCACGTGGTGGTAGCTGTCTGTATTAAGGATACCTTGTTCAATTTAGGATGTCTACCTTTCTTGTGAACCCTTTCTCTAACACCGCTTTATTATATTTGTTCACTGCAGTGATCTTCGTTTGATTGCACCAAAGGGAAGAAAACACAGGACTACCGAGAAGATTGACAGCTAGTTTGGACAAAGATTCAATATTTTACATCACTATCTAGTAAATTACTTGAGTATGTCCTGAATTCCCAGACAGGAATCAGCAAAACAGCTTTTTGCATGATAACAATGGATGAGGAGAGTCTGGAAACAGCAATTCAAACCTACAAAGCACAATTGCAGCAAGTGGAGCTGGCTTTAGGGGTGGGATCGGATCCATCACAGCTATCTGATTTGATCCAACTGCAGGAGGATTTGAAACAATTGATAGAACTGACTGAATCCAGCCTGGTGTCAGTGAAAAAGAGTAAACTACTGGCCACTTTAGACACAGATGCACCCTCCGTTTCTCCAGCAGGTCACCTAAAACAGGACAGTAATTCAGGCAGGTCCTGCAATGATGAGGAGTATGCTGCTTTTAAGGAAGCTATTGCTGAACTCAAGCCATTGAGTACTAAAGACGAGGCCTCCCCAAAGGAAGATGGAGAGGCTGATGGGGAAAATGAATCAAAGTACAGTGAAGAGGAGGAAGCATCTGAGGAAGAGGAGGAGGAAGTGAGTGGGATGAAGGTTAAAGCCCCGTACTACAGTCCATGGGGTACCCTGGAGTACCATAATGCCATGATTGTGGGGACAGAGTGTTTGGAAGATGGCAGTGCAGGAGTCCGAGTGCTGTATCTCTACCCAACTCACAAGTCCTTGAAGCCTTGTCCATTCTTCTTGGATGGCAAATGCAGATTTAAAGAGAATTGTCGGTAAAAAAGCTTACCTCTGTTGTCATTTTACTGTTCTGCGTCAGTGGGTGTACACTCCTTCAGCTAACCCAGGGAGACAATGGAAAATCCTTAGAGGGAAAAGTACAAGGATTAGTTCTAATATATTGGGTAGCTAAATGAATATTGGCTAAAGAGGAAAAAATAAAATCTACTGTAGGGAAAATAACACATCTTAATAAGAACTTTGCAGTTAACTAGTGCATTTTATCCTAAAAGATGTGAACCTTGTCGTTTAATTAATGGATTTGTCACTGGCCTGTGAAATGCGGCTGCTTCTGGGGTCGAATGTGACACTTGTTTAATATAATACTATAAAACAGTCTTTTTTTAAGGGCTGGTCTACACTGGGGGGGCGGGGGAGAATCGATCCAAGATACGCAACTTCAGCTACGCTATTCGCGTAGCTGAAGTTGAAGTATCTTGGATCGAATTACCTGGGGTCCACACAGCGCGGGATCGACGGCCGCGGCTCCCCCGTCAACTGCGCTACTGCCGCTCGCTCTGGTGGAATTCCGGAGTCGATGGTGAGCGCGTTCAGGGATCGATATATCGCGTCTCATTAAGACGCGATATATCGATCCCGGATAAATCGATTGCTACCCG